AGCACTTATAACAACACTTATTAGAGTTTCATTTGTGTGTCAATTACCAACTCTTTAAACATATATAAATCTGAGTGTGAGAGAGAGAGAGAGAGAGAGAGAGAGAGAGAGACTACATATTCATAAGGAATGTTTGAGTTATAGCTTTGCTATAAAAATGCCATAAAAATCAAAAACTATATTATTTTAGACATGAGTTTAACAGAGAAAATGTTAATTCGGTGAAGATTTGGTGCCAAAGGAAAACAAGTCAAAAGTCATTTGCATTTAAATATCAAACAAATAAAGAAATATTTAAAGCACTTTTTATAATTTACAAAATACTGAGAATTTGAGTTTTGATTCAAAATATTATTTGAATAACTTATTCATCACTTAATGTACTCTATCTACGACCTGAAGACAGGATTTTGATTATTGTGATAATATTTAAAACAATACATAGTCTGACAATTCATATACGATTATTAAATATAAATTTATTTTACATATTTATGTTATTTATATAAACTATAGGCTCGCTTATAACAAAATAAGACAATCAAATGGTCAGTTATGTGTAGCTATATTAAGTTATCATATTGAATAGCATTTATGACAAAATATAATAGCTAACAATTTCATAACATTAACATTTCATTGTGTAGAAAATATTGTACATTATATTGCTATTAATAAATGACACCAAACTCTATAATAAATGAACTCTCATTTAAAATCATTGACTAGAATTAGTAACAAAAATAGGGCACAAAATGTGTAAAGAAAAAAGTTTTTAATATAAGAGAATCAAATCTATTTGGGAAACGTCTCATTATTTTGTTGAGAGAGAGAGAGAGAGAGAGAGAGAGAGAGAGAGAGAGAATAAGATGAATGAGAGGCAAATTTCTTCTCTAGTTTTTATTTAACTGATTAATCATTTATGAATCATTTCATCCCATTTCAAAGACTATAGAAATCCATAAACGATTGATTTTTGGCATCAATTCAATCAATTATCCGTTAATTGAAAACTTGTTTTGCGTTCACATATACGCTAATACAGTAATACAGTACTGATTATAAAACTAATGATAAATATTTTATTTTATTCATGAATTTTTTGCGAACAAAGAATTTCGATTAAAATTTGAATTTCTTCAAAGATATTCAGCAATTTTATACGAAATTTTCGTATTTTTCGTAACAAATATTATAATTTTGTTCACACTTTTTGTGGGCTGATGGACAGCTATATCTTCAGAATTTCTTAGAATTCTGTCGAAAATTGTATATTTCTTATAAATTCTATACTTTAAACGATTTTGTGTTTTTCATAACATATTTATATTTAGTATCGAATTATGAATTCTGACAATCACTTGATTGTCAAGTGGGCGGACGTGAGAGAGAGAGAGAGAGAGAGAGAGAGAGAGAGGACTGGCAGATGGGAACGGGAGTGGTATAAAAGAGGATAGGATTAAGACCTTAAACACAAAAACACAGTATTGGAAATTCACACAGAATTATAAAATTCCTAAGAAATTTATAATAAATCACCAAAAAACATATCTATTTATAGGTATTTTTAATAATACTGTAATAAAACACTGGTCCATACAATATTAGACTGTTCACTTTGTTTGTATCGAAATATAGTCAATACGTGTATAATTCATGAATAGATATTCCGCCCACAAATTGAAGTACCATTTGATTCATTAATAAATTAACGACATTTAGTGGCAAATACTATAAATAGTGAGACGAATGAATAAAAAGAGTATAAAATGGTATAAAAGCCGCTAATAATTAATTTGAGATAAAGGAATGGCCGCTAAGAATAGGGGCATAAATGTATGGTAAATGTGTTCACTATATCCGGCAATAAGATGTAAACTTTTTTATGTTTTTTCTTTATTTTGTCAATCATTTCATTGATAAAACTATTTTGTGATTAGTTTTCCTCAGAGTATCCATCCATCCATTTCTCTCTCTCTCTCTCTCTCTCTCTCTCTCTCTCTCAAAATATTTGCCGAATAATTGTTTTTTACATAAAATATTTTTCAAAAATAATTTCATCAAAAAATTCAATTTTTGTTTGAAATAAATTTTATATCGATTTTTATGTCTAACCTTTTATGACTACAGATCTGTAGCACTGAATCGTTAGAATTGTAGATTTATACGGATTCAAAAATAATTGCAAAAATATAATTAGATTCTAATTATAGAAATATAATTATGTTTTTATATCTAATTTATAAGAACTTTATTCTGTGTATTGAGTGAAGCGTTGCTTAAGTTTGAGTCTTATTTGCACAGAATATTGCGCTAAATTCAAGGAAACTGTTTGTTTGAATAAATCGTTATTAATTGATATTTAATATCATTTGTTTAGTATTTCTTAGGTTTGATTAATTGAGCACAAGTTGCCATAAATAGTGAAGAAATAAATGTTGTTTTCGCATTTCATAAGATATTTCATGAATCAAATAAAGCAAACAATAATAAAATTACCCAACTCCATAATTACGACACAAAGAGATAATTTATTAATTTTACGCGTAAAACCATATAAAATAATTTAATTATTACTAGTATTTGCTTTATTAAAATGATTGAACGTTTACTACTGATTATATCAATATTAATCAAAAAATATATAATAATTTAAAAAAATCCATTGTGCATTATATATATATTTTTATGTAACATGCTAGAAATAAGTTATGTTTATTTCAAGTACGTACAACAAAACCTAAACTAAAGTTTTAAAATATTTTTAACTTTTTTAATGTCATTCTTAAAACTAAGACTAATATACAATACACTATACATTACGACATATGGTTTAAATCGATTCACGATATTGTGAAACATTTGCAAATATTTTATTTAAGAAAATAAATCTTATGTTTTAAATGTATGACTTACAAATACTCCATTTTGGATTGTGTACTAGGTCCGTCAAACCACTCCACATAACATATCACTAATAAAAATATAATTAAAATTAGTTCAATCATTGATACTGGGTTTAATTTAATGAATATTTAGCGAACATAATGTAAATATATGATTAAAATAAATTGTATAATAAAGAATAAATTTAAATATAGTGTACGGTATCAAAATAAACAACACTTTTAAACATTTGAAAACTTAATGACAGTACAAGTAAATTTAAAATTTTGAACAATTTTTATTTTTCTAAACTAATTAGTGTTTTTAAAATAAATATCTTTTAAATTTATTATAATATACTTTTTTGTTATTACAGTATATACCAGAATAATGTATAATTAAAAGCGAATTAAATAAGTTTTTAATTAATAACGTATGTGCAATCATTTACAAAATCAATAAAAACTTTTTTGCAATTTATAACACAAAAAAGTATGAAATTCATTATAGAGTAGAGTATAAGCTGAGATTTATATCAAATACACATTTGAAAACAACAAAAAGTCTCATATTTATAGCGTATATATCGATATAAGCGAGTTGTTCATGAAATTCATATAAATGTGCATAACTTCGATAAAAGCCATCATTTTCTCTATTAATGATATTTTAAAGTATAATTTAAGTGCAATTTCTCGCACTTTTGAATTTCACAACACTTTTGTGATATAATTTTATTTCCATTCAATTTATTAGTCATGTATTATTCTGAACTCTAGCTTTTTGACATACAATATAATATATTATATTATATAATAAACAGTTAGACTTGAAATAAGTAGATGGAAAACACGATTGAAAAATCTGTGAACAGTATATCTAATAATAAAGTGCAGAATTTGCAGATAATATAACATTTAGAAACTTTTTTTTGTAATTCACAAAACATGTCAAATATTTCATTGTAAACAATATTGCCTTTAAAATATATTTCGTTTTGATTACTATCAATTTGATTTTCTATTTATAAAATTATACTAGAATATAATAATTTATTCTAACAAATAAATCTTAAATATAGTTTTAGATAAATTTTTATTTTTTAAAATTATTTATTCATTAAAAAATAAAATCATACTTAAAGTAAAATTCATGTAATTCATGTAAAATAATTAGTTTTAAAAAGGTATACGAAGTAAAAACTTTAAGTTTAATTAAACATTCAATACAATTGAATGAACAAAACAATAACTTATTTATTGTATCAGTATTTCACTTTAAATTAACATCAAATTTGAGGCAATCTTTTAATCGCAAAGAATTACACAAAATCCTTATTTATTACAAAAATCTAAGTCTTTAGACAAACATGAGCTTAAATTTGAAGACATTTTTAATTACAGTTACATAATCGCAGATTATGCTATACTCTATATACTGCCCACTTATAGTATGCTAATTATTGAGACAAATAAAATATAAAAACAATCGATTCTCTGGGGTTGAGGTCATTGTATAAAGGGTCGGGTATTAGTTCATAGAAATATTAATACAAGTTTTTATGACTTTTTTATAACTGATTGTATCTAAACACGTGAACCAAATGTGAATTGAATTCTAATAGACACTCAAATGCTATACATGTTTGATATAAAAAGTTTGCAATCCCTGTCCATAATATTAGGAGCTCAGGAAGTACTATTTAATATAATCTCAAATTGTGCAATATATAAATGGGCGAATGTAGTAAAAATGCTAATATAATAATAATAATAGTAACAAGTAATTAAATACAATTGTATTGGTATAGTATTGATAATTAGTGACTAATAATAGAGACAATCAAATGGGAAATACCTCTGGAATCTCCATTAGAGAAGACCTCCCTCTGAGTGGTCGAGTAGATAATGTTTGGCAGAGAGAGTAGGGAACTGGTAATCCATATGCACACTATTATGTTCAGCGTTGTCGTCCTCGACATTCTTGGCCTCAATGGATGAACTATTGCCAGATATCTGGAAGAATGGGTCGGAAGGAGATGTGAAATTAATTTTGTTTTTATTTTATTATTAATATTCATGTGTTTGACGGCTCCGGTAGTTAGGATTTATTGCCAACATAACCCCTTTATTAATGGTATATTTATTGTGGATAATATTTTTATTTTATTTGTTATATTGTACCAAATGGTTCAAATAATTTATGCATGCAAATTAATCGCAAATTATTAACAGTGTATTTGTGTAAAGATTTAATTTTTTGTTTTTATAGATTATTAATGTGTGGTATCAATGGTTACAAAAAATATACGTATTCAGTAATTGAATAATCGGATCAATTATGAGATTAATTGCAAATATATTATATACACAAGTGGTTGGCCTATACTATAGTGAACGGACTACTTATATGAGAGCATACATCACATCATTTTTATGAACAAAACCTAATCTAAACGATTCCGTTCACCAATTTCCAGACATACGTCTAGATTCTCATGGATTCAGATTATGTCTCATTTCATATACAGATGTGAAAGAGAGAGAGAGAGAGAGAGAGAGAGAGAGAGAGAGAGCAAGCACAGCATCCAAGTGTATAGCTTTGCTTTTTATTATAGGAATCGATTCGCGAGTTAATGAATACTTGTCTTTAAAATGCATACAAAAAATGAGTTAATTTTAATTTGTATTTCAGTGTCATATAACCTATTTGAGCTAATATTATATTTGAAAATGAAAACTATTTTAAGTGATATAATCGATAAACTGAAAGAATATATTCTCTTATTTGTATCAAACGTTGCAACAAAAGTGAGAGAAATAATTGATTCATTTTACACTCCAAAAGAAAAACTCAAAAAACAAAATAAAATAGTAAATAGATATAAGAAATCCTTTTATCATTTCCTATGCATTTCTCTCGCGCCGCTAATACCGGTGCTCTTTGTATGTGTGTCTCAACAGAATTATGAGAAATATGATGAAAAATATCTGTAGCAATGATTTTCTCTCAGGGGATTCAAAACACTTGATATGATGGACACAACGCACTAAAAAAGTTTTGTTGGGAGAGAGAGAGAGAGAGAGAGAGAGCACAGCATCCAAGTGTATAGCTTTGCTTTTTATTATAGGAATCGATTCGCGAGTTAATGAGTATTTGTCTTAAAATGCATACAAAAAATGAGTTAATTTTAATTTGCATTTCAGTGTCATATAACCAATTTGAGCTAATATTATATTTGAAAATGAAAACTATTTTAAGTGATATAATCGATAAACTGAAAGAATATATTCTTTTATTTGTATCAAACGTTGCGACAAAAGTGAGAGAAATAATTGATTCATTTTAAACTCCAAAAGAAAAACTCAAAAAACAAAATAAAATAGTAAATAGATATAAGAAATCCTTTTATCATTTCCTATGCATTTCTCTCGCGCCGCTAATACCGGTGCTCTTTGTATGTGTGTCTCAACAGAATATTCTTTAAGACAGTCGATAAGAATTTGCAAAATAGATCCATAGATAGGGAATAGTGGTATGCATTGGGAATACTTGGAGACATAGCCATAACACGACACTATTTCAACAAAAAATATAAATAATATCTAATATTGACTTAACTGTAGTGTAGTATAAAATATCTCTCACAAGAATACTTCTCTGCATTATATCACTGTATATACAGTACTGACAGTCAGTGAACTTATTTGAAGTTTTCATATTAAAACTAATAAGATATTGCGATAAGCCTTTAGATACCCCCGTATTTTATACCGTTTCGTGCGATTTTAGTAAACAAGTTACTTTACTAACCAAAAATGTTTTTATACCTACCCAGAGAAATACTGGGCTAGAATAACCGCCATAACAATAAGAAAAATAAATATTTACTCATATTTGTACTCATTTTGGGGTTCAAGAATTGTTATTATGATTATGATTATAGTAATAGTAATTGTACTGAATATTAGTGAGTAAATGAAAATAATAGACCCTTTTTGGGAGTGATGTGAGCATCAATTTCTAAGTGAATCTCTGTATAAATTAGATTAAAGTGCAAAAAATACAATACAGATTTCGCAAACAATTTCGGTATAATTTGATTAAAATGTTAATTTCTATATAATTAGATTTTTTGTATAATTTCTTTTGTTATGCAAAAATAGCGCAATAAAGTGAGAAAGTTTTTGTTATCCGTAAAGATTGATGAGAGCTTCAGTAATGTTTAAAAAATTTGATTTGAATTTTGATTTTCAGAGAATAAATATTTTATCCCGATAAAAACATATTATACAATAGACACCTTAAAAGCATTCAATAGTTATTTCAATAGATAAGCGTTTTTTGTCATTATAATAGATGTTTTTAATTATAATAATTTTAAGTTTTAAACGTTTTAAAATAAAAAATTAATTTCGTTTCTTACAAATTTATTGTAAAAATAAATGGCATTTTAAAAAAACACTATAATCTTAATATATGTCAAAAAATTATGAATTATTAACATTATAATTAAAATGTGAGAATAATTACTTTGGGATTAAACACTAATGACATTCCCATAATATATAATATATTCATTGAAAATCTGTTTTAACAAAAGAATATTCTTGTCGTTAGCCATAAATTTGTTTTTTAAAATAAATGCTGAATATAACCGGAATTGACAATCAATTTACAGACAATCTTGTGGGACATACGACATCAAAATGAGTGCTTTTCGTGTTTGCCTGTCATCACTGGAAATGAGTCTAAACTTTTTTTTAAAGATATTTATTTTTTAGTAAAAATATGTTTAGTCTTGTGATGTCAGACACAGATGCTCTGCCATTGTTTAACACAAATCTCTCTCTCTCTCTCTCTCTCTCTCCCAACAAAACTTTTTTAGTGCGTTGTGTCCATCATATCAAGTGTTTTGAATCCCCTGAGAGAAAATCATTGCTACAGATATTTTTCATCATATTTCTCATAATTCATTAAATGAGTCCATACAGTGTTTAAAACATTCCCCACACCATACTACTGGTGCCGTAAAATAATAGCCTTTATGGCTTTATATTAAGCTATTTATGCCTTTAATATGAGAGAAAGTCTGAGAGAGATGTGTTGAAACACTTATTAAGAGAATGAAAAAAGAAATAAAAAAGATTTTTCTGTAAAAGTTATGAGAGTGAGAGAGAGAGAGAGAGAGAGAGAGAGAGAGAGAGAGAGATTGGTATCGGAATTCAGTTGAGAATGTTTGCCATAATAACTACTCGAGTCTCAAGTCGTTAATGTTTTTGTTTTATTTTTTCGATGTAATATTCAGTCGATTCTTACAGATAGATACCATTGAAATACATTAAATGTATATATTTTTAGTTTTCCTCAGCACTTATAACAACACTTATAACACTTATTAGAGTTTCATTTGTGTGTCAACTCTTTAAACATATATAAATCTGAGTGTGAAATGCGAGAGAGAGAGAGAGAGAGAGAGAGAGAGAGAGAGAGATTGTGAACAATATTACTTAATATGTCTTTCTTCTGACTGCACTGTATTTCAGTCCAACAAATCGATGACACAATCAGACGGTTCGCTATTTTTGATATATAAATAGAAATATGTTTTATTATATTCTTCGCCTATTTTTGAAGTCAAACACTAAAAATGTCTATAAAATAGGCGAACAAATGGACTGATTTAGTGATGGGAGGCGTTGTGTCTCATCGCCGGTCACATCAAATCATTTTCAGTAATTCCCTTTACGTCAGGCCATAAAAACCCGGAATCAATAAAGTGTTACATTAAATATATGTATGTTTTTGGCGGTATATTTGCATAAAAACTAATATAAAGTTTTATATACTTTTCGTTCGCCAATACGGCCAACACATGTCGTAATGGTTTGAACGCATAAAACATTAATATCGCCAAAAATAACAGATTTTAACGATAAGTAATACAGAATTTTGCCATAAGTTGTAGTTTAAATATACTAACCATTCACTTACTTAAGAAATTGTTAAAATTTAATAAATGTTTTTGCGTTCACTTTATTGCATGTTCTGAAAGTTTTATAAGATTTTCAAATTATGCGATTTTACGATAAAAAACTTTATCGTAAAATCCTTTGCCTAATCATTAATGTAATATTTATTTGCAAATAAAGTCATACAGACATAAGTGCTTAAAAATATTTATACATAATTTAATTTCAAGCTTATTAATATTTTATATTTATATTCAAAACATTTCAGATTAAGGTATTTATAAATAAACACCATAAATGTCAGGCCCACTTTATACAGTATAGCTAACATTTTAATAAAATTTATTATTTAATATTTAATTATTATTTCAAATATTATATACATTTGTCTGAAACAAATTGCTGTAAAAGACACACACATACTTGATATGCATTTTTATGATAGCTAATATAATAGTAGTATATTTCAATGATTTTTGTTATTTTAGACACTGAAGTGTGAAAACCATTCACTCGGTTATAACTGTAAGACAAGAAAAAAGTTGTGATTCCGATGAACAGAATCTTAAGGCTTTGAATATACAGTAAATATAGCAAACAGTGCTATAATGCCATCATTTATGCATTAAATTGAAATGAATTTGAAATACTTATTGTGTGACTGAATATATAACTATCTATAGGCCACTGTATTCACTATACACTACGGACTACCAGTATACTGTATGTGCAAATATTATGTTATGTGACATAAATTGTGATTAATAGACAGCTTTCATATAGAAATGTGGACCAAAAATGTATAAAAAGTATGGATTTTTATGGCTTCCGAATATTCTTAGTTAACACACAAGTTAACTCTCTCTCTCTCTCTCTCTCTCTCTCTCTCTCAAAGAATATTCTTTGTCATTGAATACAAAAATAAGTTATTGAATGACTGGTGTAGATATATATATGAAAAATACATTCATATCGCCATCCCTTTCCGCCCGTTTACTTACAATCGCGACAAATAATCTGATGTTTCATTAATTTCTTACTTTTTTGGCGATATT